AGAAGAATTGATGCTTTTGAGTTATGGTGTTGGAGGAGAATATTGAAAGTGCCATGGGCTGCCAAAAGAACCAATAGATCCATTTTGGAAGAAGTGCAGCTAGAGAGCTGCTTGGAGGCCAAGATGGCCAAACTGTTTCTCATATTTCAGACATATTGTCAGTAGGAACCAGTCACTGGAGAAGGACATTATATTTGGTAAGGTGGAAAGTCAGAGAAAAAGAGGAAGACCCCCAACGAGATGAGTTGGCTAAGTGGCAGCATTGATGGACTCAAGCGTGGCAGCAGTAGTCAGGTTGACCCAGGACTGGGCGTTGTTTCATTCTGCTGTGCATAAGGTTTCTGTAAGTCGATACCGACTTGATGGCACCTAACAACAACAAGAATGCCTAAGATATTGATGTTTATGTGTTCCATTTCATTTTTGACAATTTCCAATTTTCCTAGATTCATACTTCGTATATTCCATGTTCTGATTTTTAATGCATGTTTACAGCTGTTTCTCTTCATTTTAACTTGTGCCCCATCAGCAAATGAAGGTCCCCAAAGCTTTTCTCCCATGGGCTTTACTCCATTCGTGTCACCACGGTCACTCTACTTTGAGGATGCAGCTCTTCCCCATTTGCATTTTGAGTGACTTCCAACCTGAGGAGCTCATTTTCTGGCAGTATATCTGACAATGTTTCTCTGGTATTCATAAGGTTTTCAGTGACTAAATATTCAGAAGTAGTTCATCACTATTCTTCCTAGTCTGTCTTTGTCTGGAAGCTTATTGGAAACCTGTCCACCATGGGTGACCCTGCTGGTATTTAAAATACCAGTGGCAGAGCTTTCAGAATCACAGCAACTCACAAGCCACCACAGTACGACAAACTGACAGTTGAGTGGTGGTGTTTGTTCTTAGTACTTAACAGTATTTGTCTTTTAATGATTGATTTATTTCACATGCAATAAAATATTACTCTACCACAAAAAGAAACAAGTTCTGATGCATGCCAGCACATGGATAAAACTTGGAAGTGTTATACTAGATGACATAGTAGTTTTGCTTACATTGTTGCTGTTGTTAGGTGCCGTCAAGTCAGTACCAACTCAGCAACTCTATGCACAACATAACAAAATACTGCCTGGTCCTGTGCCAATATCACAATCAATGCTACACTTGAGCCCATTGCTGCTGCTTCTGTGCCAATCCATCTCATTGGGGGTCTTCCCCATTTTCCCTGTCCCGCCACTTTACAAAGCATGATGTTCTTCTCCAGGGACTGATCTCTCCTGATAATATATGTCCAAAGTATGAGAGATAAAGTCTGGTCATCCTAGCTTCTAAGGAGCATTCAGTCTCTAATTGTTTCCAAACAGATTAGTTTGTTTTTCTTGCAGTTCATTGTACTTCTAGTACTTTTGTTATATTAGTGTGCTTATTTTACCTGGACCAAGAAGCAGTTGTTCGAACAGAACATGGGAACACTGAATGGTTTAAAATTAAGAAAGGTGTCCAACAGGGTTGTATTATTTCACCATACTTACTCAACCTGTATGCTGAGCAAATAAT